CACATACATACCTGTCACAGGTTAATACCAATACAAGACAGGAATTTACGGCTATCGTTTTGTCCTTGAATGTTACACTTACGACACAAGCACCGCAATCACCTGCATGACACATCGCTTTTGTGCCTCGAAATTTCGCATATTCGCGGATGAAGACAAGGAGGGTCGTGTCGGCGGGTATACTATCATCGGATACTGAAAGTGATTTTATAATTTTAAAATCCAGTGATAAAATTCTAACATACATATTATCTTTTATTTCTAAAGCTCTTAATCAGAGTTCCATAATCAAGTTTTAGAATTTCTATATAATGCTGTTTATATAATTAATTCTTATATAAACGTGATAGATTTTGTTTATATAGTAAATAAATGATATATTTACTGATTAGATTTTTTAAATATATCTGGGGTTTCTTTATATCATAATCTCTCATTCCAGCAAATATCAAATTAAATGTACATGTTATTTGTAATTTCCTACTCAACAATATATCTATAATATAACACACGTGTTATATTACAGTTATATCAGTGTGTGGTCAATTATAAATAATGTGTACGTTACATATAATTTAATGATTGCTGGGATGTTTCTTTGCATTTTAAAGATATATAAAAAATTTTCATTTTCTTGATTATGTATTTCATACAAAGAATACATACCCGAATATGATATTCCATTAATTACAAACGTTATCGTGTTGTTGCCGGATCTAAACATGTTAGATTGGGAAACATTTTAATGTTATCTTTAATAAAAAAGGTATAGATAATATTTTGTAAAAACTTTTATATCTGGTTTTATATTATGCAGTAAATGGATAAATAGATAAAGAATAATAAAATATTTTTTGTTGTAATAAGAAATTTTGAATCTCGAAAATATTATTAACAAAATTTCATTTTGTCGCTTCTATCGCATTGTTGCTTTTATCGCATCAAGCTTTCAATAATTTTCGTATGTTATAAATATTTGTCAGACTCACACTCTTGCCGGTTCCATTTTCACTCATCGGTCGAATTACGCCTAACTATCCCTTGTCTAAAGATATGAAGTACTTAAAGCACTGTCTGTAAGACACTATAGAAACGCTGTCAGAAGATCATCAAAATGGTAATTATTAGACATTCGATAATAATATACTACAATTTTTTTTCTAGTAGTTAATAAATATGCAACAATGCAAGACTGTACGGAGAAATATCGTTGTGGAGCAAATCATATTTATGAAAATGTCATCATTTATACATTAACGTATAAAATATAAATTTTGCACATATTATTAAAAAAAGTTTTCAGTGAAGATTATTTTTTGCATAAAATCGATTAGCAAATAAGAAAGTATGTTTTCTACTTAAATTTTGTTATATATAAGCCTCATTTTTTACACCGATTATTTTATAATGTCCTGGGTAGGCATAACATCAGAAACGAATTCAAGACGTATAAATAATTCAAAATTTTCATGTAGATATTTTTTGTT